ATGGAAGCGTTAAGTTTGACGAGGCGAGGCAGCCCCCACGCCACGTATCTTGAGTCCTAAAACTTTCAAAGTCTACGTCTTTAACTTTTGTGCTAACAAATTGCTGGTGCCTCTGATATCTTCAGTTCCATCCTGCCATGACCGCTGATGCTCTCAGAGCGAAACTTTGCTCTTTCCAGCCCACCACCTCTCCATTTCATTCCACATACGCTTCCTGAGCCAACAAAATTTTCTGCGTCCCTTCCACAGCACTGGGATCCCCGTTGGCATTCCAACAGATGGGTGAGGATAAACGGTTGCTGCCCAAAACCCAGAGAGAAGCAAGAGCTGCAGCACACTGGGAATTACAGCAATTGTGCAAAGCTCACACCTGGAAGTCTTAAAATAGAGCTGCACTTTAGAAGTATGCTTTACTCACAGATCCCTTAAATATCCTACCACCCTGAATATTCAAGTTTTTATTTCTGGGCAGAAAACATTCCCAGTTCACTAGACTCCTTTACTAATTCTTGAATTCATGAATTTTAAAAAAAGACCTATTTACTATTTAAATGTCAACCTAAGTCTATTTATCCTAATGGGGTACTGAGGCCAGCAGCACTGCCAGCGCCGTTTGTACCCTCGTGTCTCATCTGATCAGTGACGGAAATAAAAGCTGAAGCAGACAGATGGCTGAATCGAAGGGAAAGGTCATTACATACTACAGCTGATAAAGTGAAGAGAATAAAATAGGGAAGGTGATCTTCAGGGAAAAGGTTCAAACTTAGCCTCACCACTCAGAGGGTGTTTCTGTACGGAGGTAAAAACAAAACAAATACAGAGGGAAGTATCATCAATTATTCACCGAAACGTCTTCTATTGTTTAGCACAGGGAGAATCCTGGCCTCTCTCCCCATCTCTGTCTTTAAAAACTCTATTTTCCTACCTCTCATTTAAGAGGCAGAAGAATGCCAGATCTCTGGTGTTATTCTCCTCATTTAAGTGAGGCATCCTGTATTTAAATGCTATTTATTTGGTAACACAGTAAGTTAGAAGCAACATTACAGCTAGACCACTCTCACGCTTCTTATGTCAAATAATTCTAGTTGTAAGCAGCTGCCTCGCAATTTGGTATATTTTAACTAGGTTTGAAAATCCCTAAAGTGAGAAATTATTATCTCTTTCAGCCAAGTATGAAGTAAATCTATCATGCCATATGAATAATTCATATAAATTCTAGAAACAAAGCAAGGAAGATAAGGTCAGAGGGGCACCACAAGAGAGGGATGGAGCATCCTTCACCTAAAGCATGTGGTAAACCTAAATTCAGTTTCCTTGACAGACTATGTCAACTTAAAGAATGAAGATGGCTCTTAAATAATTTAAAAAGCAAAGGATGACTTGACAGTCACTATGGGTTTTGAAGCGAACAGAGAGGATGAACAAAAACAAAAAGTTTTTTTTCAGGTAAGAATTTGTCTGATGGAAAGCTGCCTTGTACCCAACTGACCTCCTGCTTAACTTGCTTAAAAGATTTCTGAAATGTCATAATGGTGATTTTCAAAAGTTATAGCAAATCAGTGACTGGCTCCTGGGAGAAGCAATGAGGCAGCAGGCTCCATGTACTTTAAAGAAAACTCTAGATGCCCCTGGAAACCCTTGATATTTATAAATAATCAAGATCCAGGTGTATGTCAGTATTCCAATAGACACATTGCAACATAGCGCTGCACTCATTACATACCTTAATGTTCTCTGGCCACAGTCAGATTAAATATTTTGATGAACTTATACACGAGTTTTTCACAGCAGTGCAAAAAGTTCATTAACGGCGGTAAGCGAAGCTTCTAACCTTTGTTAGAGCAAAACGTGCCATAAGCAGAAATCACATAGCAATAAACTTAAAGGGAAACTTCTATAGTCAGTCTAGAAAGTGTTACTTTGGTTGTCACTGAACAAGAGTCAATTCAAGGGAAAGAAACCACAGCAACCAACTGAACCGTAAGTCTTGCTGAATCAGGAAACGGGAAGATCCTTGGCTGGTAACACGCAAACTATTAAAAAACAGAAGGAAGAGACTCAAGAGGGACAGGCTGCAGGGAAATATCAGCAGTGGGCTACCAACTTCAGGAGAGGAAAGGCATTTTTACAGTGGCTGGTGACTGCATCCAGTTTGTGAAGGGTGACAAGCAACGGGCACGGGTCATTCATCAAGTCAGAGAAAGGTAACGTAAGAGACTAGAAAGTTCAATTCACTAGAGAAATAAAACATTAACAGCAGAATTACTCAGAGAACTGAAAAAGGAATTAATCAACACTGGCAGACATCAAGAGAACCTGATTTTCAAGAACAGAGAAAACAGAGGAGTTCTGCCATTCCCTTCAGTATAGCTGGTTGGCCTCCCATTTAGAACTGCTGCCAGAGACAGATGGGACAGGCTGCCCCGCATTAACTGGCAACGGTGTAATTCTGTCAGATTCCCAGCCCCCTCTTCCTTCCTTCAACCTACACTGCACTGCAAATGTGAGTGCGTGCCGAGTGGGGCAGATAGTTTCCACGTGGCATGTCTGTGTGAGCCATCGAAAATGCTGATTCAGAAAAGCAACACATCTAAGAAACCGTGGAGACATTTCAGAAACAGTTGCCCTCAGCTCTGTTCTCCAAAGCACGCTGCACATGAGCCCTCACCAAGGGAGAAGCACAGAAGTACTCCCTGCTCTGGCTGAGCAGGTAAGAACTTCTCTATTTATCTGCAGCAGTAAGAACTAATCTCCCAAGAGACTACTGCATTCAGCTAAGAATCTCTTAAGGCGGGGGGGGGGGGGGGGGTGGGGGGGGGGGGGTGTACTTGTTTTCTTATGTAGCTGAAAAAAAGACCAGTCCAGCACAAACCCAGGAGACTGCTTTCCACACACAGGCGTGCACACCTGGGTCACCCACAGATGAGAACACAGTTCTCCAGAGAAACCTACAGACATTTGACAGCAGACAAAAAAGTATTCTTTGCCTCTACTGTAGAGAAAGCAAAATATTAAATTCCTTCTCCCTGCTTTGTACATAAAGGACTTTTTTTTTTTTCCCAGTGTTCTCATTCTTTCTCTTCACCTCTTTAATGAAAGATGATTGTCAACTGGAAACCCACAGTCCTTCAGGAGTTTCCACACTTCCTTTAAAGTCCAAGGGAATCAGGGTGCGCCGTGATGAGCTCAAGTCACTCCTGGCTATCCTGCGGCAGACAGCAGGGCCTGAGGGCTTGCAGCAGGGGGCACGATTTATTTTCATTCCCTGTCTGTCACTGAGCACACTGACAATGCTTAAGTACTTGAATACAAAGCTGCTTCAAGATGCTGAAAATCCTTGGACTTCTGTGTGTCTGCACGTGTGTGCATGCACACACACACGCACATCTGGAACGCCTCAAACTCAGAATTAACAATTCAGGCTGGCTGCCTCCACCGGTCGAGAGCCTTTCCCCAGAGTAGGCTCCAGCAGGTTGCATTTCTGTTTATTTGGTTTTTTTTCAGGAAGAAAAAAAGTGTAATGTCACCTTAAAAAAAAAAAAAAAAAATCACTGTCAAAGCCATCTTTGGATAAGCTGTTCTAATATTTATTTTACTCCACTGCTGGGAAATAGTAGCTCAGCTCAAGACTGAATTCGTGCAACTTCAGCTTCCAGCCACAAGATTCTAATGAAATTTTCATTATCAGCAGGCTTATATTCAGCTCAGTTTACAGTGAGATTTTAAACATTTTTAGAAATTACGCATTTGCTGTATCCTTAGGTGTGATCTTTCAAGTGGAAGGGAACACCTCTTCATTATTAAAACAACGCCCAGCACGTGAGATAACACACCTGCAAAATACATCACAAGAACCAATTTCCCAAGGAGTCATTTCCCTCCCTCCCAACTCTATCTGCATACCATAACCGAGCTCAATTTTGAGCTGCTTCTGAGCAGCGTGAACCTCTCTTACAATAAAAGATTTTTTCATTCTTCGTGCAGTTCATCTTAGTACAGAGAAATCTGAAATATCTAAAAATTCAGCTGATGTCAGTTTAGTCACATGGAAGTATTTTTTAACATTCAAAGGACAACCATACAAGCTCTGGAGGCAGTATGCTGAGTGATCATCAGTCCTAACTCCAACCCCAACTGGTAAATGAGCATTTATAAATAAGATAGCCTTTGAATCAAAAGAAAATTGCAAGTTAGTATTTTCAGTTTCTATCTCGAACTGGTGTCTTTGGTCTAAATTACCTTAATTAAGTTCGAATCAAAGATGGAAAATTTCAGCAAAATTAAGAGCCAAGTGCCAGAGGGACTGGAATTTTCAGTTGAACAGAGTAAAGATTAATTTATTTTCCCAAGAATCAACCAAGTCCAAGATGCACACACAAATCTGTTTCATTTACAACTAGGCTACTGTATTACACAACTGGTTTACATAAGTTCTTCCCAGTGTGATGAAAAGCCTCTTCTGCTACCATACCAGGTTTTAACCTGGCTACAACTAAAAGACTAGATTAGAAATATTTTTCTGGTAGGCAGACATGGGTTTGTGTTTTACAGTATTGTGCTTGGTCTCATTAACCTACAAAGACTCTTTCCTATTAAAAATACAGTGGGGAAGGGGACTTGCTAGTACAACCCATACATTCTGCCCTGTTCTTTCTGGAAGCAAAGCTGCTGTTTAATGCATTTCACTGAAAAAAAAAAAAAAAAAAAAAAACAAAACAAAAATAAAACCAAACCAGCTACCCGCGGGGAAATTAATACCTGTTTACACCAGCCAAGAACTTCAATTTGGAGCTTGAATCGAGGTTGCAAAAGAACAAAGAATTATGCACGTTAGAAGGAGCAGCAGTACCTTAAAGGAATCTGCTTTTGTAGACTCCATCCCAGTAATACTGTGGTTCCTGGGATCACAGATAGCATTTGGAAGCCTTCCATTTCCATTATTTATTGATAAGTGATAAAGATTAATAGCAAAATCTTACTAATCTAAGGAAAGAAAGACAGACTCAAAAGCGAGATTTTATTCATATTTGTTACTTATTCACAACCCAAAGTATGGTAAAACTGATTAAACCAGCCTAGGATAATGTTAGTTTACATCACTAAATTCGATTCACATTTTATTAATAAAATGCCCAAAGGAAAATGACAACATTGCAGGTTCAGAAAAACAGGTTGGCTACTATGACTGAAAATCTACATTATCTTAACTGGTCACAACTGACTGTTTGTTTAATGCTTATTATTTAAAATTAACACAAATTACAAAATTTCAGACACACCCAACTTCTGTGCTCATAAAATATAACTTCTGTCATATCAAATTTCAGTAGATCGGAAATAATTTTCTGCCGAGATATTTCATTTCAGCATGTATTAAAAGAATACTGAGAGTACTCTCCCCCCACCTATACAGCGATGTAACACTGCAGTCCCAGTTGCATTTTAGCCTGCCTGTCCAAGGAATCATTTTGCAAGCTGCTGGGCAAACAGACTGTGACGATCAGAACAAACCATCTCTCATACTGTGAGGAGAACCACCATCGGGTTGTGGCCTAAGTTCTGTCCTCTGTGGTGGACACACAGACCTCAGGACACCAAAGGAAGCAGACTTCAGCTCTGTGTTTTAAGGCAAAGACAAAACCAGCTCCAGCTGAAGAGAGGGGAGTACCTGCAGCTGCCACCAATGACCAAGCCCTGCAGTTGCTCCCCATTACGCGGAGATTGCTCCTACTTTATGTGATCAAGTTTAACACCAACATCGAGGCAGCATGTTACCACCCTCCCATAGAGAGACAGCCACCACCGACTGAAAGCTCACCTGCAGATTAAACAGTAATGCAGTAGCCAATAGTTTGCATGCAAACGCTGTGTCAGACTGTTACATTCGCAGGACTAAAACTGTTAATTGTGTAAACACAGGTTAGATAATTATCTTCCATTTCTCTTTTTATTTTACATACATCTTTTTTTTTTTTTTAAGAACAGACAGGGCCTCACAGAACAAAGGAGCTTTACCAAATGTTAGACCTGGAATTACACAGACTTCAGCTACAAAGATTAAAACTAATCTGGTAAAGAAAGAACTCTTCCCCTGCTACGGATACATTTTTGAAAGCCTCATTAGGCAAAGCAGCAGCCTGACTCTCAGTCCAGAAGAGAGAAAAAACAAAAACAAAATTTAATCCTGTACTAAAAAAAAAAAAAAAAAGAAAATACTTATTTTTAAAGAAAACCAAGACAGCCAAAGCAGACTGTATGGCAGCAGTTGTTCCTAGGGAAGGAGAAAACAAGAGGATATATATGGCATAGTACCTAAACAGCCATTAAAACTGCTTTAACTGCCAATGTTTTATCAAGGGGATGTACTGGGAAAGAAATACATTCAGAGTAATAGTAGTTTTGAGTAAACGTGCTACAGGAAACAGAAACAATCTGTCATGACTATACATGTACAAATCAACAAAACTTACTCACAAACATTTATACCTACAGGCATAAAGACCAAGTTTAATACTTGTGAAATGTATCTGATTGCTAGATCTGAACTGTCCCCATCCTCAGTAATCAGAGAGTAGCATTTCTACACTGCAATAACCATATGGCTTCAATCAGTTCTGTCCTTAAGCCTCTGGTCCAGTCGATCTGTATCATGAAACTGAAGTGCTCCACAGGTATTTCAACTTTCATTTGCAACACAGACACGCATCTGCTAGCTACCTGAGAGCCCCCAGCACTCCGCCCAACAAACAGCCAGCAACCCAGAGCTGGTACTGCTACAAACTTAGCCAGTCTGCTCACAAAATGTCCATTTTGGATCACGTGGACTCATTCTTCAGAACATACATTTCATCACCTGCTACGCTTTTAAAGATAAAAAGAAAGATTATATAAAATCAATTCTGTATGCAAAAAAAACCTAAGCCCAGACATGATTAGAAATAGACTAAGGTGGGCATAATTAGTAACTTATAAAAAAGCTGCAAATCATATTTATGGAACCCAAAACTTCACTCAGTCATATTTGTAACTGCTCTCAAAGACCAGACTAGCAACCAGACCAATTCACAAGTACTTAAGTTGCTTACATAATTAAAAGAATAAGATGTGAAGTCAAAAAAATATATTTTATCCCTTCAAGATTAGGAAAGTAAAATAAAATGCTGGTTCTGTAACAGTGCAACAACTGCAGCATATTTTGCACGCAGCACATGATTTGCTACATTTAGTGGCACTTAAGTATTACGCGGTAAATACTGAAAGTAAGACAAGTTTCTGATCTGCATAAGCATAATCACATCATTATTACCAGAGTTGCTAAGCTACGGCATTCTGAATAATACCAACTCAATTTCAGCACTTCGATCACTAGCCTTAATGCGTGTCAGTGGCCTGCTTTACACCTTGCTAAGAACACAATCACTGAAGCCAATTATTTAATGAACTGGCCACTGGGCTTGGACCAGGCTCAATCTGACCAATCGTTCTCATCAAACTCTGAGTCATCATCAGAATCGCTGTATTCCACAGCAATGCGTCTTGAAAGGATGGTTGCCACATCATTTCCAACAGGCTCTCGCTTTGCTTCTTGCTCACGTTGCTCCTGCACCTTTTTCAGCTGAATTCCTGTAGAGACAATTACTCTCAAAGTTTTCTGCACAAGAGATTTTAGATTTCATATTGTCATTGCTGAGTTTTTTCTATTCTAACAATAAAGTCCAGAAGAAGAAAAACAAAAGAAACCACTGAGAGAGCCTCCCTGATCAAGGAAGAGAGGGAGACAAAAAAGGCAGATTGGAATCCATTCTCAGAGACTGAATATACTGCTAGACTTCTAAAAATGCCAACAGTATGTTCAAACTAAGTATTCAAGACTGTATGGGCCCTTTTGATCCAAAGATGAAAATTTTCACAACTGTATTTGGAAATACCATTACACCTACAGCTGCTTATTGTAAGCAAAGTCAGGAACAGCCATTAGTCACTGATTAAAAAAAATCAGTGGTCTGAAGTTCGGGATTGGATAACTTAACAGTTCTGAACAGAAGCAAAATCCACATACATCTAGTGGCCACTTCACATAATGAACACAAGTACTGTTTTCATTTGATTACGTCCACACAAACACTAGAAAATGTCTGACAAAGCTGTACATCCGCAGGCATTAGAGAAAGATCAAACATCAGGGCTGACAAATGTTAGAACAGGTGTGTGGTACCCGTGGTTACCTAGTCTCTCAGTGACATTCTGCCTAGCTGGGAACAGAAGCCATGAACTCAGATCACTGGAAAACACTGTGCTTTCACTGAAAAAAAAAAAAAAGAGAGAAAATCTAAAACTGTGTCCACTTACCCATTCGAATGGCAGCAAGAAGATCGCTCCGTGCATCGCTTAGTGGTGGCTGTGCAGGTTCATGACGTTTTGCTTCTGTAGCTGGAGGAGCATGCATTGGGGAGGAAGAGAGGGATGAACCTGCAGCAGGAGGGCCTGGAGGAGGAGGAGGTGGGCCCGGAGGAGGAGGAGCAGTGACAACAAGCCCACTAGAAGGAGGAGGATGAGTAGCTGCGTATGCAGAGCCAGTCACCAGTCCAGAATGGGAAGGTGGCACAGGAAGCTGAAGGGGACTAACAAATGCAGTTTGTGCTGAAGGAATCATAGGGGGAGGAGGAGGAGGGGGAGGGCCTGTAGGATTGTAATAATCCACCATCTGAGCTGGAAGCATCCTAGATAAAACAGAACAAAAACATTTAATGCGCTGAAGGTTAGTACCTACAGAACCATCACCCCTTAAACTGCTCTCATCCAACCTCAGCTAAAACAAAAATTAAAAGGAATTTAAACTCGTGAGTTAAATATGCAAGTGATCATAAATGTATGGGTTGTCAAGTATTGATTATACACTGAGATTTAATGCAGATGATAAAGTTAAAAGCAGTGTCCTTTCAGCACGCCACAAACTGAGATTCTTTTTATCGTAATACTCCTGCATAGTTAAGTACAAAGCTGTATTTGTTAATATTCTCAGAGTAATTGTTTAGTAAGTACAATGCCTATGATGAAGGGACCAAGAAAGCTGCAGACTGTGTGTATCATTTCCATAGAAGATCAAGTGTTAGATCAAATATGAAGAGATAATAAAAGACATAGGCATGGAGGACAATGTAAAATAACAAATGGAAAGATTTACCCAAAGTATATCACGCATTTCATGTGCTTCTTTAGCCAAGCTCATCAATTTCCATATTATTTAATTAAATTGATACATTTGATTGATACTCTAAAGAGGAGGAACAGGGAAGAGCTAATTTGTTTGTTAAAATGTCATTAAAAGAATTCTTAAGCAGAAAAAATGGGAATTAATGTAAGAGTTACGAAGTAGGTAAAGAACTAGATACAGGGAACGGGAACTGAAGGGAAGTTACTGATGACATTCAGTGATACATGTCGATGTATCACAACCGTGATACACTGACAATGGTTGTATACCTGGGGACTAAGCACAAGTATTTCTGTTACAAACTGGAAATAACAGAGAAAATGCAGGTTGGAGCAGTCAATCATAGCATAACGGAGTCACCTACAGCATGATACAGTCATGAATTGGGCAAATACTATCCCAGGATGCAGCAAGTGAAGGTGAAAAACCTTGGCTTGCTTAGTTTAAAACACCACAGGCAAGACTGATTACAACTTTCCTGGGGTTTCAACTTGAAAGTTTAAGCTATTTAAAGCAAACGAACAAAGAGGCACAGACTGGTTAGAAAACAAGCCTTCCTTCAGAATGCACTCCAACAGAATATCTCCACAGCAGTTTGAAAAATTCCTGTCTTGAATTATGGAGGTAGGTTGAACTGTGGTGGTGGGGAGCTTGATCCCGTGTCTGAGAAGATCCCTTCCAATTATGTCACAAGCTCCTTTAAAAAGTCATTTCAGGGATGCAACACAGACTGCCATGTTGAACACATTCAGCAATACGTTCCCTGCATGTATCCTGAAGTTTAAAATACTACTTAAATTACACTGTAACTATTTTCCACTTAAAAGAAAAATTATCCCCTTTTTAATATTATATTAGGTAACCTTAATACTTTACAAGCGTATTGATTTCATCACATTCAATACACAGTTCATTATTTTTGATTTCACCATGTCTTCACTTAAACTCAGTCCATACATAGAAATTACACCGATATTTTTCTGTCCTCCCCAGGGAGATCACTAATGTACTTGGGGTCTTTTTTGTGTGTATGCATTGTATGTTACGATGGTTATGAAAAACATGCATCCCCCTAGTTTTGTCAAGAATCCACTGGAATAAATCAGGAGTTTTACCCATATTCTGCTGGTACCACAGGTACTGAGCTATGCTGGCCGTCTGAAGGCTGGGGTGGAGGTGGAGGTGGTTGCTGAGGTCTGTTTAAAGTAGCATGTCGTACAGTGGTGGAAGGTGGCCTGTATTCATGCTCATGGCTTTGGGATGCTGCCATGTACTGTGGACCATCTCCTGTCCCATACGAAGGCATTGCTATCTGCTGATGGAGGGAATGATTCGGAGTAGCAGGATAAGAATAATCTGTAACATCAGATGCATGGGACCTAAAATTAAAATAAATGGATGCAGAAGAACAGATTACGTGAGTGTTACAGGGCATTATCTAAATAGCTCACAAGAAAAGCTAAGAAGAACGAAATCAGAATGGTTCTTCTTGCAACAGGACTCCCTGATTATCAAGCACCACTCCCCTTGTAAGTCCACAGAAAGCAGAAGAATAAATGCAACAAAAAAATCACGGTTCAGCTTAACAAGACTTGAAAATAAATTAGTCTGACAAGTTAGCATAAAAGGACTGAAACTGAAAGTCTTCAACATTTCAGCATACTAGCTGCATGCAGGAAGTCCTCCCATAATGCAGACTTTTTAAAAGGCAAAAAAATTTAGAGATTTCTCCAGATTTCAGAGTTCTTTAGTAGCCAAAAGGCAGCATGATGCTTTTGTCAATGATTTTGACAATCCATTGTTTGAAATGATAATGCTTATCAGGCCTGCCTTAAGTTAACAATGGCAGCAGAAAAAGGAAAGCTATACTGCAAGCACTCGCAATTATGCAGAAGAATGTATTTTACCAAAGCAGAGAAAACCAATTTCAAAAGTTAGAAAATGCTTTTTATTTTGTTTGCACAATTAATTTTGCTGGAAAAGCTTAGAAAAACTGGGAAACGTAAATATTAGTTGAGCAGAGAGTTCATAAAGATACAAAGTCTAGGATGTTCTGTCAAATAAGCCCAAGAGAGGGAGCAAAAGGATCTCTTCATCCCATTACTGCAAAGAGTTGTTTTAGTAATGAACAGTCGTGCAGCCTGGCTTTTAGTGAACACAGTAAACTGATGCACTTATCTGTAAGACTGGAAGCAAGGTAAGCAACAAAAAGCCAGGGCTTTGAGTAAAACAAAATGACAAACCCTTTGGGCATTTTGTCCTCTTTCATGCTTCCTGCCTGTTCCATTTTCTTTGCGTCACTCATGAACTCAATGCCCATTTTCCTTCTCTCCCACTCTTCTTTCCTTGTTCTTACTTTTCTCACATTAATTTGCTGGTTTCTGTTTGGATTCAGCTTGTGTTTCTCTCTCTAAAGTACAATAAGTATAACAAATACATTGTGAATTGCCAGTCTGGACAATTGGATGTCAGCGTATAATTTGCAAGTCTTACAATAGCAAATGAGAAGAAACATGAGCTTTTTTTTAGTTTAGCATTAAAAAAGAATCACAATATAGCCAAATACACTCCTTGGGGACCTTGTTTATAAAACACTGCTCATACAGTAGCGGTCAGCATGAAAACATCTCTGAAAGCAGAACTTACTTCTGTATGTAGGAGGTTTTTTATAGCTTAGTTCCTACAGCTAAGACAACCCCAAGATAAAACAGGGAAAGCCTCCTCTCCACCTCACTCTCACTACCACTCCCAAAATTAACCCTTCATGCATTTACAACACAGATTTCAGGATTCCATCACTGCTATTTGATTCATTGAAATTTCAAGTTCTCCATACATTAAAAAATTTGAAAGGTTTAAATAAATAGAAGATACCTGTCATACCGCAACATCTATATCCAACATAATGTCGCATCCTACAATTTCTGCTTTTAAAAATCCTACAGATTGCAAATATTATGGCTGAGAACAGTCAAATACATGTTGACATTGCTAGGAGATAAAAACAAATCACTTCAATGTGATTATTTAAACTCAGGAATCCTGGGAGTAAGGTGTTAAGGCTAGAAAAAGACTCAAAATGTGTGAAATACAGAAGTTGTGTTGAAAAAAATCCACATCTTGCACTTGACAGATGAACATCAATGTCATTTCATCAGATCAACCTGTGGAAAGCATAGTCTTAAAACACTGCAGACTGACAAACAGAAGACAGTTTTGCCTTAGAAACTGTGAAGAAAAAATTAGTGACAAAAGGAATTTAGACAGAGAGAGGGGTTGTGAATATATTATTGAAGGAGCAGTAGCACTTACCTTTAAATCTGTTGTTTCGATTACAAAATGATTACTCTTCACAAAGACTAAAACATTACATATACAATGTTCTGAGCAAATTTTTTTTTTTTTTAATTAATCTCTACCGGACAGCAGACTAAAGGTATCAGCCCACACTTCTGCAGTGGTGACTGCTTCCTCAACCTATCCATTCAACAATTTAAATATTAAATTGTCACATGCTTTTTCCAGTAGATTCTATTTATCCCTAATATTACTGCTAACAATTAACCACGACAGAAGAACTAAAATAAGTGGGAAAATCCTCTAGTGAGACCAGATTAGCAAAAAAAAAAAAAAAAAATCAGACTTCCATGCACACCAGGATAAGGTAACTCCCACTGCGTTCAAAGGGAATCTCAGTCAAGACAGATGAATTCTGCTGTGTGCCTCTAAGCAGAGATTTCTGGTATTTCTTGAAATAATGTTGCAATTAGGTTCGTAGCTTGTTTTTTAGACAAATATAACCTCGATAAAGCTGAACTATTCCTCCATTAAAGCGTTTTGTTAGAGGCAAAAGTATGCTCAACTGAGCAGATCACAGAAAAATATTTATTAAGCTATCGGCAGCGTAACATACAACAAACTAGACACGAAGGAAGAGGTAGTGACATTATCTAGTAGAGGCAGACTTAAATGCTTTTGTAACTACAGCTATTCAAGAATCAAGTATAAAGCATGCAACAAAGTTTTTTCATTACAGTATATAACTTTACAACAACAAAATGCTCATTTGAAGCTGAGGAAGAAAAAAAAAATCATTAGAGAATCTGTTATGTTATTGATGCTTTAAAATCATTTTGAGAAGAACTTTAAAACATGCATTGTATCTTTTCTCTATTCTAACTATTCCCAACCTGTAAAACCACCTCATTCTATTCAGTATTTCTGAACATACAACTGTGGTATAGCAAACAGCTTTGCTGTAAACAGACCTAGTATCTGGGGACAGGGATCCCTCGGAAGATGCTCCATGGTACACGCTTTGAGACAACCTGTTGTCAGGTCTAAGCTCTTTGTCATATGCCATCATATTCCACTCCTGGCGTCTGTTCCTGGCTTTTCTAACCTTTTTCACCTCACGGGTGGTGCCATCTATACGCTTTTGCTCCTGATGTTCAAACAAAAGAAATAAAGCATGCAAAGAGAGAAAAAAAGGAAAGGAAAAAAGCTGGTTAAAATGCAGTTAGAGTGCATGAAATAAGAACAGATTTACAGATGAAGCCAAGTCTTCATAAAATTCCTCTGCACTGAAAATAAGAATATCTCCTTACGCCGTGATCCCCATTAGTAGTACAACTGCTGCTTTGCCCTTCTTCTGTCGGATGCACATGCTAGTGTGGTACCAACCTACTGTTTCTCCCAATACAGAAACATGACTGATTTTAAAAGCCACAAAGTTTAACTTCTGGCATCGTATGTCATTTAGTTAGACCATCCTGAAACACTTGTGATTTCCTTCTCCTGCAAATCAATCTTACGAAAGCGTTAAATATGCTCAGGGTTATTTTGGTTATTGGTTAGGGTCACAATCACCTGGGGCCTGTTTCACAGTCTATGTGAAATGACTTTTTGTTTGCTCTAACTTCCTCTCCCTTCTTAGATCTGATTAACTACCAAAATTCCTCCAAGTTTTTCCTCATCACTGTTTCCCATAATCTAACATAAAAATGAGTGACACTAATCCTCCCTGAAATGTGTCAGTAATACTCAGGCCTGTAATATATTACAGCTTGATAGCTTCATGACAAACCAGTCCGGTTAGTTTTTTTAATCTCTCTACATAATTTCAGGCCCAATCAATGTCAGTGCTTATCTATCAGTAGGATCTCCTAATAGCAGGACTCAATGCTTTCACATCTCTGAAATCTTGTCCTCACCTGCCTCTGACTACTCAGTATGACTATAAAAAACATATTGGTGCTTCAGTAGAAAAATAAACAAGTTTGCTCAATCCAAACTGAGAAGGGTATTTGTGTTACTCCTCAACATTTATGAGAGCATGGGATTTTTTTTTTATTTAGCTCTAGAGCCCACATCTTGGACTACTAATTCATAAATAGGTTAAACATGTTTCATCTAGTAATACATTAGTATTAGGCTTTTGGCTGTTCAAAAAATGGTTCCTCAGGAAAGAATTATGTTGATATTCTGACAATGCAGTCATATTCAACTGTATTTAGAGGTTGCTAAAATGCTGACATGCAAGCGTTTTATTGTGGAATCTATAAAGTAAGGGATAATAGTTGAAAAACCAGTCTCACCAAAAAAGAAAAAAACCACATCATAGATGAACATAGGTATTTTACTTAAACTGTCAAAAAGCACTGAATAAATAATTCTGAAATAACATACTTAGTGTTATGCAACTAACAAAAATCTATCAAATGGCTTGCCCTTGTTTTGGATCTCTTGCTTGTTCATGCATGTCCATATGAGGGACCTGCTGATCCACATCCACTAACATTAAGAATGGCAGAAAAAAGTCTTTTTGAAGCTCAACATCCAAATATTCCAACAAAACTTGCTCATTCATGGCCCCTACAGTGAGTCGATTTTTTGACCCAATTCATGTGAAGTAAAAATCATCACCTTGCTTCTTAGTTACTTCCTATACAATCTTTTTCCTCCCCAAACTTTTTAACATCACACCCTTTTTTATCCAGGTTATACAACGCTTTACTTTCTCCTTTAATACCACTTCTTCATATCCAAATTTCCCAATATAGGAACTGGAGCAGAAGGGAGACAGATTCAGCCATGCTTTATTTGAAACATATAAACTTTTGCTAATCACCATGGTTGAATTTTTCATTTGATTGCTGCAAAAGTTAATTTATTTTAATTTGTGACTTTTATCCTTGTTCATTTATTAAGATTGTTACTAAATCATGCTAGATTTGAAAGGAAAGTACAAGTAACATTTTTGGTTAACTGAAAATATGCTTTGGTTCTCTTCTTTGCAGAATAGTAACTCTATCCTCTAAGGGTCACAACTATATATTTCTTGCAAGTTTCTAGATAAATATCCACCTTTTGACCAATGTATGATGCTGCTCATAGGACAATTTTGATACAATGCCTGTACAATCAGGACTGCTTACATGACTGCTTACTTATGATCGCCTACTTCAAAGTTTGGTTTTAAAGAGATCGTTATGTTTTTATAAAGAAGATAAATACATATGCATGTATAAATAAGCAACATAAAATAAACATGAAGTTTGTTTTTACTGGATCAGATTTTAGATGAATAGCTTGCTCCAGACCACCATCTGTAAGTATCCTAGTGAATAAATACGCTGGAACCCTTTTTACTCAAACAGTACTAAACCCTACTGGTTCTGATTTTTTGATTAAGTATTATATACATACATGTCTAACACATTTAATTTCTTCCTAAACAGTGGGGCAGGCTGATTACTAGCACTGACAAAACTATATATACCTCTAACAGTAGTTTTAAGCTGTTCCAGTAATACTTTCCCAAACAATGGCGACAGCTCTAGTTTTAGTACCTAGGACAATGACAACAGAGTTCTAGGAGCTGAAGCCTTTCAAAATAACTACAGTTACAAATATTTCTTAGGAAAGTTAAGCAACATTAAGAAGAGTTACTTCCTTTAACTGAGTGTGACAGAAGCTGTGGCAGACAAGTGGATGCTGTAGGTTAAGCCAGAAAACAGGTACACCATTCAGCTGTCGGCAGGAAGCAATTTCAGCAGACACAACAAACATGTTAAAGCCCTCAAACAGGGTTAAGATTATTTTAAGTTTGATATTTGTATCAAGAGTTAGCAAATTATGTTTTAAGCATCGTAATAAAGAATTAGAGCTAGTGACAGAAAATAGCTTCAGCAAGTATTTGCAATACTTTCAAAAAAACTGGAAGTGTGAGCCTGGAGTATTTTCCTAACTTCACAAATTTACAAGATCCTGTCAATCACAAGTCATCAAGAATGATTTTTGACATACAAGCCCTCCAAATGTAAAGATTACTACTTAAAGAACTAATCATTCCTCAGAAAAAAATGGGGAACAATAAAAAGCAAAGTAGAACAACTTTCCTTTGGTTAACCAGTAGTTAACAACTGGTCTACTACAGTCATTCAATTCAGAATATTACTGATATATGCACAAGTCAAAACTAACTTCATTGAACTCTTAGACACGGATCTACTGAGAGTCTGACAGTTAAAAAAAACAGAGACTACACCAAAGACTTTAAACTTAAAGAACTAAAATTACAGTTTTCTTCGGAGAAAAAGTTCACCTGAAAGCCAAATCAGAGACAGCCTGGATTACATTTCTTCAGTTAAACTGAACACAGAAAATAGTAAGTATGATATTTAAAGGCAGGAAAACAAAACTCATCACAAACCTGCCGTGGGAACAGCTCAAGCATTTAAGTCAAATTACCAAAATAATACTGGAAAACTGACTTTGGTACAAGGAGTACTCCCAGGCTTCGCTGACCACCTGAAACACTGAGGCTAAAAACCAGCTACCTCTGGCCAGCTGAGGACTGCATTTGGGTATCTAGTTTATAATTTGCTAAACAATACAAATCTATTTCACCTACAGTTTCTCAACAACTTTGACATTTTGTACTTCTGTAGAGTACAAATTGTGTAAGGAGTTCTCACTTAGTAGATTCAAAATACAACTTCAGCCACAAAATTGTTAATAGATGCTCTGGATTCATTCCCGGCCCCTGATATCATAAGGACAAAAAAGAAAGTGACAGTCAGTTAAGCAACCTATGGAACAAACTGTGCCTGTGAGACATCTCACCCAAACCCTCCAGCTCTCTAAAGGTTCCCCATGATAAAACAACTCATTTGTACATCAGCTTCTGAAAAGCTAAAAACCAGACTTCTTCCTGTCACAAAGTGACACCTATTCCTGCAAACTCACGTCTATGCTGCTTGCTTCTTAGTTGGTCTTGTTATATAGGTCATCAAAGCAAAGAGCACTTCAGGTAGAATTTATCAAGGGGTAGTTCTGTGATGTGTGGCTATAATCCTACGTGACCGGAATTGAGCATATTTTACATCTGGCTTGTAGACTGTAATAAGACAATTAAAAACTACAAAAAATATACCACGGATGGAAACGAGTGAAAATATGGTCTAAAAGCAAGTTTATATATAAAGTGATTTTGTAAAAATCTCTCTAATGCTATAAAAAAACTTCAAGTGATAGTCTGTTATAAATATTTTTTAAAAAGCTTCTGTATTTTTTCCATTTTAATATTAAATCAGAATTTTTAAAAATAGCAGTTGATAGGTTCTTTTTATCCCTCCCTCTAGTGAAAAGATCTAAATTTGAAGGGGAAAAGGTGGGAGGAAAAAAAAAAAAACAACAGGTGCAATTATCCCTATGTTTTTTTTTCATATAGAAATACTGAATGAAATTTTAAAAAACCCCAACTGAACTAGAGAATGAAAGCTGCTTTGATTATTTCCAGTCTTTTAATCACCTCTGTGACTTATCATACTAGGAATATAGTGGGAATATAACCTTGCACATACATTTGTATACAATTATAGAAACAACCAAGTAAATATTTTCCAGTACTTTGCTTTAGACAGTAACTTCTACTGAAAATGTTTACTTGGCTTTTTCAACTCTAATATTTCAATACTGAGATACCCGTCAAAACAGAAAACATTTTTGACTCATACTCCTGACAGGAAGACCCGATTTATTTCCTCTAGAACTTTTAAATGAGTTCACAAAATGTTTTAGTTAAACTAAGTCTTCGTGTTTTGTTTAAAAATGTTGTAGTCAGAAAGTTTTATCTAGCAACAGGAACAAGGAATTAATAGAATTTTATAAAAACACAATAGAAAAGCTTCCCAGTCATGCCCTACAATTTGGTTTCTAAGCAGTTACCATATATATATGTATTATACACATGATGTATATACACAAGTATACATTAGCATGTATATTCATGTATTAGACATTACACATATACATGTGTATGTATGATGATACATTATGATACCTGTTATATATACACATCTTTAGGTTTGCTAATATATGGCATATATATATACACACATGTGTATGTACAGATATGCATATGTCTGTGTGTACTGAAAACTAAGCAGCTTCCTTCTATTTCCTCTGAGCAGCAGCTCCATCTTGCTTGGATTCCTTTTATTTTAAATCCCTTACCTCTCACTGAAGCTACCTAAAAGGGCACCTTCTGCCAGATAAAGCAGGCAGTCATTGCTTCAAACTTTCCTTCTTCGCTTTTTTTTTTCAGAATTATCTTCAAAAATCTCAGAGCCCTCAAATTTGATAAGAAAATTGTCTGCAAAGAAGATGCAGAAGTAGAAACTAATTTATTAATTCAAAACTAAAATTCATTAAGAAAATCTTGATGGCATTAGAATACACATCTTGGATCAAACTGCTGATGATATTCCAGGACTGAAGACACTTTTCTATGAAAAATCCTTTTTTTGTTGGTTTTAAACTTATAGGAAACAAAAAATATTACTCCTAAAATTAATCTTCTCTTGTTGCTGAACCACAGAGTAATTTTGCTGTGTATTATCTTACTAACTTGTAACAGGTGTAGAAAAGTGAAGAGTTACTATCAAGGAATTAAAAACCCAACAAAATAGTTATTTCTGGATAAGCTCATGTGTCATTTTGCTACAGGAGTTGATGCTGCTGGAGAAAGAACTATGAAAATAAATGAAACCATAATTCAAATTCCATTTTTTTTTTTTTCCTTCCCTCTAAATCACAGTGTCTTGTTCAAAAGCACAACAGGGCCATTTGCCCGAATACTAGTAAGCAGATACTGGCAAAGGATTAAAGACAGTATCTTGGAAGATAATTACAGTACTTCTAAAATTCAATTTGCCAACTTCTTAGAATAGGCAGTATGAGCTATAAAAACTGAGCTAACTGAATCTACAGGCATGTATAAAGAGGAATAGTCTTTCCATGCACACTAAGCGTGACTAAATTACTATGCCCGGACAACCACACACAAAATTGTAACACATACATATGCTATTATGTTTCTGCTTTTACCTTTTGTCTCCTCTTTTCTTTTCGCTTATCTTCAGTATCTTGTAACATCTTTTCTTTCCAAAGATCAAAAAAATAGGAAGGATCAGTATAGAACTTCAATCCATCCTTCTTATCATCCCTGGAAATACAAAAGAAGAAAAGTTAAGACGACATGAATTAGTATTTTTCAAGCCAACAAAACTCACCTTTGATGACCATCCAAGCTTCATCTTTTTTGCATTATAGGATGATAGCATGCCAAGTGCATTAAATGCCACTCCTGGTAGTTACAGCTTTCAATTAGCTTGATTCATGCCAAGAATTTCAGGTGAAAAGGGTGGAAAAATCCACTGCCTTCTGGGAGGCGTGCTCCCAGGCTCTGGCCCAGTACGACCTGGCTCGGCCACTGCATCAGCCAGCTCACCAGAGTGAAATTCACTGGTGCTGCAAAAACATCAGTGGCAGGATGGGATGTGTAAGGAACAGAGGAGCTTAAGAATGGAAGTCAACTGTCTCAAAAGAACTGGAAAATCAGTATTTGGTTTAATCCCCACAGGTCATAAGATCTGAATTTAGGAACAAGGTATGTCTGTGTACCTTTGCCCGTATGACAGGAAGCACAAAACAGTCACTGTTCTGAGTGGGACTCTTCTAACTAGGGGAAGGGCTAGGAAAGGGGTGGCAACTGAAAGGCTGAATCCTACCAGACTGTTCTAGAAGGATTTGAGACAGAGCGGATCTCGGCTTGCCAACTCCAATTGGCAGCAGGAGCCAGGGACACCCAGACTAAGAAGCCACAAAAAAGGTATGCTATCAAATCCTAATTTGACCCCATGGCACGGAAATAAGGATTCTTCTAATATCCTGAACTCCTGGAAAGCAATGGGTGTAGGGGGAGTCAACATGGCAGGGCAGCTGGCATGGTCCAAACAGAATATGACTGTGACATGATCCCAGTCTAGCTTGCTAAACTGGTATCCTTCAGAGTCCCTTTTGGCTGTGGATCCTAATTTCTTCCTGGGAAAATTCTGATGGCACCTAACTACTAATTTCTACCATCAAGATCGAGAGCAACAGAGATTCAGCACACGGAAACTTTACAGCCACTAGAGCAGGGTACAGAGAACAGATCTTGTACAATGGTCATACGGCCAGAAAGCCCCTTACTTTTTGTGCACTAGATCTCCTTGCTACAAACATCTAACCTGTTGAAGGGGGTCCTGGGGCCACTCTTCTACACCTCCAGCTTTGGTCAGACTATAATTTGAAGTTTGTTTAAGCTTTGTCCGAGGCAAATACAAATAATTTAAATTCAGCACATGTAAAAGACTTACCAAGAAATGTAACTTAAGTAAATTTCACTAAAGAATCCCTAATAAAACAGGAATAACAATAAAGGTCATTGACACCGTCATCCAGAGACACATAAGGGCATAGCTGTGCTGAACAGGTGGTCAATAACAACTCTTACTAACTGGATGCCTATAAACAAATGCAACCATTGTTAGTAGCAGCAGCAAAAAGCATGTCCTTCAATTATAAATCTAAAAATTTCACCTTCTAGCTCTTAAAAATGAAATACACCGCAAATCCTCTACTATGTCATCCCTAAAAAAAAATCAGTCATTTACTGCAGATTGAGTGCCTGCTTTATACAGATACTTCACAATCTCGTACCTCTCGAAAGTTGAAGGACACAGTAAAAACATGTTGTCCACAGCCCTTCAGACCAACAAATTATACTAATTTCATGAGCAACAATAAACTTCAAGGAAACAGGAAATGAAAACAAGAAACAAAGTCCTGCTTCCTGCTCTTCTATTCACCAGTAAATAACCAACCAGGAAAAGAAAAGACTGCATGGGTGCACACATGTGTGTACGCTAGGGGAAAGAGGGAGAATAGAGGGAAGGCAAAAGCAGCAAATCCAGCTTTTTGGGATAGATGAACCAAAGGAAGCAGTTTAGTATATTATTAATTTTCTTTTCACTTTTCACATAAGCAATGGCCCTTGCTCTCTGACCCTGTGCTGCCATGTAACACTTCTGCTGAAATACAATGATTTTTGGCAGGTACAACTTATGATTTTAAGTGTGGTTATCGCAATTTTTATTTCCATGTGCAGGGAAGTCCCTGAAAAGCAAATCTCAACAGCCAATACAGCTTTTTCCTTCTGCTGTAATTATTCTCTGCATACAATTGGGAGATAAGGGGCAAATCACAAGAACATAAACAATGAATATTTCCATACCTATAAGGTGAAAGAATATTCAGAGGTGGTGGTTTGTCGCTCTGATTATAAATATCGGCCACTGGGTTAGGAATGCTGTTCTTTGAAACTACCTGCTGATCTTGAATTGTTGAGCTCTTGAATGCTTTTTTCATGTTGATATCCTGCAACGATACTGTTAGAAACAAGAATACATTTATCACAGGTCTAAAATTAACATAAGTAGATAAACAAAATCCCTTTTTACACTAGCTATTTAAAATATTTTCAGCGAAACACAGAAGGAAAACTGAAAGACTTTTCTTTCATGGACAATCAGCATATTTAAGCACAAAGGCTTATAAAAATTACCATAATAAATCAGATTTAAGTCCCATTGGTCCAGAATGTCACTTAAAATAATGGGATCATGGACTGTGTCTTGGAAGATGATGCAAGAATCCTGTCACATACAGGTATTCAGTGATCTCCCCTTTTTATGAGGTTTAACCTGGACTTCTAATAGCAGAAAGGCTGGCTTCAAGACTGAAATACAAGGTCTGGTATTCCTCCAACACAGCATGTTTTATAATTACACGTGGTATCCATACACATTCAACCCCATTCTAAGTTTAATTAAATAATGGCTTCTGCAAGCTCCTGTGAGAGTTCCACGTCTTCTACCATCTTTCAAGTTCAAAATCTTTCCATTTAATTGAACATCCCTTGATCTTAAGTTTTCCTCATCTCTCTTTAGAGAGAAATACTTAATCTCTTTTATACAGTCCAGTAACATACTTCCATTTTATCTTTTTCACAAACACAATTCTGGGGGAAACAATACCGGCCTTTTCATTCTCTGTTTTCAAATGAAAGATTTAAGTTGCTTTTAATTGTCCTGTCACTTTTAGCACGACTTTCTTCAATTCTTAATATAAATTCTCCTGAGATGAAGCAACCACTGCTAAAAGGATCCAGATAATGGCAATCACAATATAAAAGTGGCAGTAAGCTCTCCACACTATCTTCCATTCATAGCCCACCTGAAATGCAGGTTTTTGACTGCAGTCAAACAGAGCGCTGAAGTCTTCACTGGCTTGTCTACAATGACACTAACGATTCCTCAAATTGTTTTACAACAGTATAAGCTGTATGAGTAATGCAAGCAAAATGCACTGGCTTGTTTTCTTTTTATTCCCATTGACATTCCATCTAATATTTCTTGCCCATTCATCTAATTTATCAAGTCTCAAACTGAGAATTTCACATGCTAACTCAACAGTACCAGAAAAAAATTCAATATATTGACGACCAGAAAAACCAGGAAGGCATGAAGTTTGGTACAGACCCTGTAAGGTACACTGTTATCCTTTCTCATGATGGAAATCCAATCCCACTCAGACTTTTCTACCCAGCTATTTTTGTTATCTGTGCTGAGGTCTTGCCTCTCACTCTAAAACCCTTTAGATTCTTCTGTAACTTTTAAAATAGCAAAAAATTAGAATATTTCATTCCAAATCGTCATTCCCCCACCCACATCATCTGAACTATCAAAACATCATTCTTGAGAAACTACTTTCTATTTAAACCTGCCTATAAGTACACCAGTATTCCACGTACTTTTTTTCAGATATCTGAATTGTTACATTCTTGTTTGAAGGAAGACATTCAAAAGAGCACAAATCCCATTTTTCTGGGGCTTTTTAGTGTAAGTTGTTTATATGCTTTTGAAAACCTAACCTCAATTATTTCAAAATGTTTTTTCAACTGTCATTAGTTATATGTGTAAAATATTTTTATACATACACTATGTATTAGTTATACCTAAGAATGTAAGAAATCACTGATGCATTTAAGTCTAAAGGTTTTTTTTAAAACCAATGTAGCAATTGAAATTTTAAATGCCCACGCTACCCAGAAATATATTTATTATTAGTGACAGTAAAATGAATTATTATGAAGACTTTAACTTCTGTAGTGAAATAGCTAATAAAATTTCCTACTGACACTGAAGTGACAGCAGTTTGTATATATAGCTTATTGATGTGAAAGCTGATTTGCAATGCAAGAGTAATAACTGCTGTCAATTTAAAAAAAAAACACTGATTAAATTATCAGTCTATACACTAGTTTCACCTTCCAATAGGCTGCTTTTGGTTACCCTCCAAACTCTGGAAACTGGCCAGGAGGTATTGCATAATACAAATGAGACATTAAAAAAAATGAAACAAAAGCAAAACCAAACTCTGATGAGGACTGCATTTCCAGAAAAGCTGGACTTGAAAGTCATGAAGACTGACATCATCCACCTCAGCACAGAGCGAGTACACTGTATGAATATCATCTAGTTTGCTCATATTACCGCCACGACATGCCTCAAACTAAGCTGAATAGTGACCCCATAATAGCTCAGCCTACGCTCCCATATATGTTCCCTGTTGACCTCTAAGACAGCAAATGAAAGGCGCTAGTATCAACTGTGATACTCTACCAGTTAACGTGTTCCAAAACTAGAAAAAAAACATCAGCCCTATAATAATTTTCAGACATTAGCAAGCTAAAAATGGAAGGCTAAGTATTACACTATTAAATATCAACTAGCATTTAATACTAGCATCAATAGTAGTATTTAATATATAAACTATAAATTTAAATATATAAGGCATATAAACAGTACTATTAAATATATTACAAGTAGCATTAACTATTACTGAGTAAATATTATGCTACTGATGTAACTTTTTACATTTTACTAAATGCCAGGTATCATCTAAACAGGGAGTACACGCATTAGTTGGCCCAGACATGTAACTGAACATGGAAGCAAACACACACGTTACAGCTCTTAGAGCTAGAGAAACATGTTTTACCCATGTAAGTGCTATTGAACAATGTAATGACATTACTTATATCCTTTGTTTTTACTGTGTATTTATGACACGAGTGACCAAACACATAAGCAAGTGAGGACATAACAGCATTTTAAAGGAAATATTGTTTCTAGTGACTAGAATCCCCTAGAGATTTTCACCTGCTCGATGCAAATACACAGTGCTTCATTTAGGTAAAGAGTATTATCAGATCTGAGATGACTGCAGAACAGGCACTACTAATACAGGTTGTGGCCACTCGACCCTGAAATAAATGTAGATCTACTGTCTCAAACTTTTTCCAATATTCTGACCTAATTCCAGTAAGGTCCAGATTTATACACTTCTCATTAATTACACTCACAAACTAAGTTTTCCCTTAATGGCTCCATTACTACAGGGGCTTCTTGAAGTAACACTAAGTCTAAAATGAAGACAGTTACATGACACTGCTAACATGATCTTTCCTATCTTGCCTTACTGAGAAAACAAGATGAAACAGCAGTTCAGGATTAGTTTGAAAAGACAAAGATGGTTGTGTAATTAAATACTGTGGTCTTGTCAACATCACTTCTGGCTCAATGTTTTCATACAATTACCTACCCTCTTCTACTGTTGAATCCAGTTGGGTAACTTTGACAGCAAGGCGATCAATTCTGTCTTGAAGGGAATTTGCTCTGATGTAGAAGCTGTTAGCCTCATTAAACAATTCACCAAATATGTCTTCAGCATGTTTGCCTGTGTAAGAAGACAGACAGGGAGATCCCTTTGCTAAAGGCTTACAAAACACGAGATAAATGGCTTCAGTATAATGAAGGTAGAATAAAACACAGTAGCTGTAGGATAACAACAGTGCAGTTTGACATTCAGCAATATCTGGGCAAGAGATCTGTACAAAAATCTTGAAAAACACCATAAATGCTTCCTGAAGTCTGTTCTCCTGGACGTCTTGGTCAGTCTTCTTAAAAAACAAGGAGGCTTTGAAACTTGAATCCTTATGTAGCTGGACTACTGCCAACTGACATAGAACTGATCATTAAAACCTTCCCCTGATGAAAATAAAGGCCCAAAGTTACTGCTGTCCATAAAAGCTTCTGAAGTAAATTTTGAAATCTAAAATCTTGCAATCCGTAGTCATTAAGATTTAATCACAAGCACAAGCCAACATCAAAGTGAAGGCAAAGTGAAACAGATAAAAAACCAGGATCCTCATGCAAGGCAGCCCACTTACCACAGACACTCATCGTGTGTATCCATGTTGCTGTCACTGGCGTCATTTGAGGGACTAACACAGCACTGACCACACTTACCCATGGCCAGTCTGGACTTGTTACAGCACAAAAGAGGTTCCAACAAGCTTTTCAGCCTCCCTTTCAGCTGCTGTATTTTCTCAGTCACTATGAGAGTGGATAGTCCAGTTCAGATCTGCAGCCTCAGGCCCTACCCTGAAAGTACTACGACGGACAGGAGTGCCACACAACAAACTCAATCCCCTCTTGGTCCACAGATCCTTGTCTGTGCCCATTCCTTTCCTAACCCTCACAAAGTACTAGGCATCCTCAGTTACAGTTTGACTCTCCTTCCGCGCCAGTCTGAACCTCTCAACCAATCCAGATCAAAATCCCAATTTAACACTTCTCCTGCCCTAGAATTTCCCCCACAAATTTCAGATTCCACTCAAATTCATGGCTCTTGCTCACTCAGACAGTACTGCATCTACTTGTGTCTCAGTCTCCCCTTCCCAGATACTGCTGCTTCATTTAAGATCTCCCCCTTTAAAATTTCTGCGGCCAACACCCCTCTCAAGACATCCACACTCCATCAGTTCTCCATGCAAAAAGCAAAATCCTGCTTCCTGCATTTAACCATACTTTTTAAACAAACACAAATTTTAAAACCCTGCTTCTGAATTAATCTCATCTTGTTATGACCTGTATCAGGACCAGCCTGAACAGCAGAAATGGAGGGGAGAGGGAAAGTGAAACTGTCTAATAGCTAGAACAATATGGAATATGTATTAGCCACCTAAATGACAGTGACTTCCAAAAGAACAGCAATTATTGACATTTTAAGTTGGTTCCTATAACCAACCTTGAAGTTTTACAAATAAAAGTAGAGATGTAATGAAAATTTCAGCCAAGATCCCATCCTATGAACGTCTGGAAGACATAATTCAAAGTAAAAAATAGCCACACTTAGAAAGTTGTCAGGACCTGCCCCTTTCTTGGATCATTTACTTGGGGGGAGGAGAACAACACCACTAAAACAGTATCTAAAAGCACTGTTTGTGAATTATAAATTTAAAAAAAAAAATTTGACTGCCTTGTTTTGAGTGGAGGACTTTACCAGTAATAGATTTCTTCACTAAAAGTAAGATCAGCCACTAACCCAAAATGTTATACATTTTGATGTATCCAAGCTCTGCTTCGTACATATATGGAAAGTGGGTAAGAAAGGTGTTCTGCCTACCAGCTCCTAATCTCCTCCTCCTCCAAACCAGAAGTCACACACCCACAGAATAGCTGAGGCTGAAAACAATCTAGTCCAAGTCCTTGCTCAAAGCACAGTGAGATAGAGCAGGTTGTCCAGGACTGCTCCCAGTTGGGTTTTGAATACTTCCAGGGATGGAGGCTCCACAGCACCTCTGGGCAGCCCATGCCAATGTTCAACCACCTGCACACTGGAAGCGTTCTCCGAGTGCTTCCCAGCAGCCAGCTGCGATTCAATTAGAATCCCCATTTGATTTAGTTGCTGCAAATGAAGAGGTTATTCCAAGCTCTTCAGCTAAATAAAGCAGGTATTACGTTCTTCAGCCACCAGTACTCAGAGCTGGAAACATCAATAAATTTTAATGGCTGCTAGATTATGTTAATGTATTGAAATCAGCCTGCTGAGGAAGGACTGCTGCATTCTAGGATTAAACATATCATCCCTAAAGAAGTCAAGCAGACAAGAGCTTGTCAGTTATCTTTCAGGAGGCAAAATAAGTCATGAAGTTGATTTGTGGGAATATAATTCTTTTAATATTGAATTCTTTTTTCTTTATTTTTTTTTTTTAAAACACCTGCTACTCCAAAACCAGTGAAAGAGATTCTCAATCTCCTGTCAGTAAAAACAATGACATGGTAAAGCAATACTGGAACACGCTGTTCTGATTAATAAGATGTGGTAAATTCTAGAAATAAACTAATCCTCCTCTAGTGTTTTCTATGTTACCATCATTTTAATTAGATTTTTTAAAATACAGAAACAACCAGGGGAAAAAAAACACCCACAAGCTATCTGAAGTTACAAGCATGTATTTTTCAACTTAAGAGCTGATTTTGGTACTATAAAACAGTCATTTGAAAACATGAAGTGCATATGGGCAACCTAAATATTAATTAAAAGTTTAAAAAAAAAGGAATTATGCAGTCTTTCCTTCTAAAGCTCCCTCTGGCTGCAGTAGTAGTTGAGGGGAAATTTAGTCACAATGCTGCCTCAACATATCCCCACTCTCAAGAGGTTTTAGTGTCAATTAACAGAAGTGTCTCTTTCTAGCACTTCCACTGGTCATCTTCATAGAGCTGTATATTTGATTGCTCACAAAAATTTGCAAGCATTGTGAGATATTTCTGGAGATCAGTATTTCAAAAATAATGGAAACAATACCTCTACTGAAGTTCCGCAGTAATTGCATGAAGCATCATCTTGCCACATCAATTTATAACACCTCTAGCAGAGACTAGGCACTACTTTGAATTAATTACAATTGATTTTCACATACTGCATAAGAAGGTGTGCATTAACACATGGAGTACCTTGTCCCAAAGCAAGTCAAAATGCTCTCAGTGCTGTAACAAAAGAGGAATTCAACAATGGTGCTGGCTTGTTTGAATGCCAGAAACCCAGTAACGTTTATTACTTTGGCTAGTTTCTTCTCACATATTTGAGTTTGAAGTACAGCTTTCCTTTGCATTCCTTGTTCCACAGCAAAAGTACATGGAAGAACACAGTCAAGTTAACAGAAGGATTTACAGTGCATTAAAAGGGTTACAATTTTTCACAACATGAACATGCATTATCAAAGAGAAAAGGTAGAGCAATGTCATCACCTGGCATTCAGGTGTCAATTTTACAAGACACTGGAAGAAAGACAACGCTAGGGCTGCCCCAAAGGGAGCCAGTGCTGCACTCATGTTCTCCTCAGGGTCCTGGGTAAGGACTGAAACATCCCGCTGAACTAGCTGGTGTTTTGTAAACTCAAATTCACCCAGGACATGACCATTTTATCATAACATGGAAAAGAAAACAGTGATTCCACCCATCCTTTTGTAACTGGATTACTTAGCATCAGAATCATGTTTTCCCCCAACCCCCTCGCACTGTTTTGTCTTTTTTTTTTTTTTTTAAATAAGCAAAAGTGTCAGGCTGTTACTGACCAGGTCTTGAGTCTTATTTGCCTCCTCAGAGTACCTCCAGCATGATAACGCCAAAAAAGCTAACTTCCCAACTCAACTTGATTTAGCAGTGGTAAAGAGCAGAGTGACAGAAAGCTGGATGCAGTGCGCTCAGGGCTGCATGCAGACTAGTGAAACTCTGAGCCAATGGACAATGTACCCAAGAAAATACTAAGAGACAAGTTGTTAGACATCACTCTGTGTGAAAGAAAAAAAAAAAATCTTCCAACTCGCCACAGACCACACTTCCTTTGTGGTATGTTGTACAGCAAAAAAAGGTTGGTATCACTTGCATATGGGTCAAAGAAGCTCTGTACCCATGTACAGATGGTTTATACTCACGTAGAAATAAGACTTCAACCTGACAGGTAGTATCTGTACGAATGGAGAAGCCAAAGATAGAAAAATACAAAATATTTAAAGACACGCAGAAAGGAAAGAAGTGGTAATGCAACTTGAATCACAATGAGTATGTTAATGTACAGACTGAAATATAATTAAGAAAAGCTCAATAAAGGAGTACCTGTACAGTTTTTAATATTTAGTCTTCAACGACAATCAGATGTGATTTATTATTTCTTCTCCATATATACACATATGCAAAACTCAGGAACAAACCCCTGGTGCAATAGATCCTGTTGCAGAGACCAGCTTTTTTCACTGGCTGGAGTTTTACAGCCATCAGACCAAACCCCACTGCCAAAGTAAGGGAGTATTTTGTGAAAGCTTTCTTCAAAGTCTTTTCTCCATGACTGTGTTTACTAAGTAAAGCATCATCGTACTTACAGGTAGAGGTTGCAAATACTTCCAGTCCTCCCCACCACAGATTCTTTCCTCCCAAGTGGAGGTGAATCCCCTAGTCAAGCTTTTGCTGTATTTAAAAGTGGAGAGTTTCATACAGAACGCTGCTCACTCTGCCTGTGCTCCAAGCCAGCTGGCTGCAAACTCACTCAAATCTGAAGACATAATACAAAAAACCTCCACTAAGAGCACATTCCCTTTGGATAAGAATTTGTTCATGTCTCCTGAAAAGAGCAGAGGCTGAAGCAAGCCAAATTTATATGCAATAGCACAGATCTGCCAGTTTTTAAAATCCACACTGAACTCACAGTGCAGCATTAAAAAACAGTGTGACTACAAGATAGACCTGTACTTGCGCTCTCTCTCTTTTTCAAGCTGTGGGAGCACCAACAAGCTCTGATGCTGTCAGCAGGACATACTACATCAGCTCCAGCATAGCATTTTTCTGTGATCATTTCCTTGCTCCCAGTTGGCTTGAAACACAGGCAAAACAAACGCTGTCTGCTGTAAAAACCCTCTGCAAACATGACAGGTTTTAGACTGTGGACGAGCCTGGTGGTGGCTTCCCTCATTAAATACCACATATTCACCTGTTAAAACAAAGGACACATTTATTTGCATAGATCTTTAACATGACACTAATGAAGTATTTTAGGGCTGTCTGCAGAGACTTCCGATGACCTGAGAAATCTGCTGAGGGAAAACTGCAGAATATAGATTTCATTAGTAGCCAGCTCCTCCACAAGAATCATAAGAGGATCTGAACACACAGTCTTAACAGGAAGATTAGACCAAATCTGAAGAAATGAAAGCTAAACATTCCTAGCAAGTCTGGCAAGTGAAAAGTGTACTATATGCACTTGGCCAATCACTGTACAATACCAAAGCAAGGTCTTACCACATATCCTTGAATGTAATTAGGACATTAGCCATTCTTCTCAATTTTCTGAAAATCAAGGATGTCAATACTGAGCAACTGCCTGATAAAACTGCAAATGAAACTCCATGACAATACAAACACAAATTAACTATAAATAACATTAGCCACTAAATCAACAGCTACTGCTCGAGAAAGATTAGAGAATCACTTGGAAACTTCTGAAAATATCAACTCAATGTTTACCAGCAATCAAAAATGTATAAATTCTTAGGGAACTAATGATAAAATAGAAGAAGTCTGTTTTGATTATGATCTGAAGTCCTCAACACTCCACCTTAAAAAAAAAAACAAAAAAAACAAACCAACCAAACAAACATACTCTAACTTACATATCCAAAGACGAAATAACAATGTCATGGTTTGAGCCCAGAGGGCAACTGAACACCACAGAGCCATTCACTCACCCCTTCCCCCATAACACTGAAAAGGATAAAATGAAACAAAAGGCTCATGGAATCAAGATAGAGATAGGGAGGAGTGGCTCATCCATTACAGTCAAGGGCAAAAGAGACTCCTGAGGGAAATTAAAGAACATCACTAATTCAAACACTAACAAAGACAACACCTAACAGACAAGGTGGGATAGTGAGAAGCACCACCACATCCAAAAATACCCCCACCCATCCCCCCCTTCTTCCCAGCTCAACTCTGCTCCCCAGGTCTCTACCTCCTCCCCCAGCGGCACAGGGGGCAGGGAATGGGGGGTGCAGTCAGCTCGTGGCTCTTTCCTTCTCAGGGAAGGGGAAGGCAGCACTTGCAATTCTTTCCCCTGCTCCACATGGCTCCCCTCTTACAGGAGACTGGCCCCTATGAACTTTCTCTAGTGTGAGTCCTTCCCACAGGATGCCACCGTTCCCTTGCTGCCCAGGCGTGGGTCACCCCCGAGCGCTGCAGTCCTCCCACTGCCAAAATACAGCAGCAGGGGCTGCTTCTTCCCTCAGAGTCACAGCCACCTGCTCCAGTGTGGGCTCCTCCACAGGCTTCAGGTTGGCATCTGCTCCGCTGCAGACCTCCACGGGTGGCAGCCCTGCACTCTCACCATGGGATACAGGGGGGCTCTGCTCCAGCACACCTCCCCATCATCTTCCTCCTCCTTCCTCCCACTGACCTCCTTCTCATAGGTGGCCTTCTCATAACTTCTCCTCACAAGCCCCAACCACCTCTCAGGTTCCCCTTCTTAAATACGTTATTGCAGGGGCACAACCACTGTCACTAATTGGCTCAGCCTTTGCCAGAAGTGGGTCCAACTTGGAGCCAGTGGAGCTTTTGAGAAGCTTCTCACAGGGAGCCACCACTGTAGCCCCCTCCCCTGCTACCAAAAGCCCCACCACACAGACCCAGCACAGTGATCAGAAATACAAAATGGTTTCTATCCAAAAAGAGTATTAACAGATCAGGACACTCAAACCTGGAAAAGTTAAGAACATGCTAAAAGACCTATTATTGACTATTATTGAAACACACAAGATGAAATCACCTTTTGTTATTTTTCATAACTCAAGAACCAGAAAGTATCAAAAGGAAGAAACAGATCAACTTCTATTGTGGGGCATTCTGCCACAGATTATTGAGCAAGAAAACAGTGCAATCCCTATTTGAACACATCTAAGCAATTCCACTGATGACTAGTTTGCAAATGGTTGTTACATAGGATAATTCAGATGGCTCAGAAAAATCCCTAAATCAAGGACTACTGGAAAGGAGAACACGCTGTGTTTCTTGCACTCTTTCCCTAAGTATAGGCTCTTTCCTATCACCACGAATTGTACACTGGACTTAGTGGAACCTGTAGTCTAAACCTGATACACACTTTCTTACATTCCTAAAACCATTTCCATTTACAAAGTGAAGAAACTGATGCAGCAATAATTTCTTTTCTAGGACCAGAGTTATCAGCACAAACAACAGCTGCTGACTATTAAACACTCTCTGAAGAAATCTTTTCTCATTCATTAAGAAATATTCTTCTTGCAAGCACACCAGGCATGCTTCTAGAATTGCTAGTTGTGGTGTCAACTGGCAGGTGTACTGTGAGGGCTACTCTGTATGGAGCTGACACTTGCCTACCTCAACAGTAGCCTACAGCTTTGTTCAGTGAATGCCATTCTTCTGATGCATATGCTTAATTTTATTCATATGAATTGATCACACACATATATAAAGAAAAGACTTAATTAGCACAGTAAGATAAACTGAAATTTCAGTCAAACATGTCATTTGATGCCAAGAGGCAGAAGCGTTTGCTGCTTCATCTCATGCAATTGAGAGTCAAGAATAACTCAAGTGCTAGTCTTATTCTTGCACCAATTTCTCTCACCTTAGAAAAAATCCTGGTTTTCTATGCTATAGCTTTTTGGTTGGTTGGTTTTTAGGGTCTGGTTGTTGGTTTTTTGGTTTTGAGTTGTTGTGGGGTTTATTTTGGGTTGGTTTTGGGGGGGTTTTGGGTTGTATTTTTTGTGTGTGGGGGGTTTGTTTGTTTTGGGGTTTTTTTGATTGGTTTTGGGGTTGGTTTTTTTGTTTGTTTGTTTTTTTTGTTTTTTTTTTTTTTTTTTTTTTTTTACACTTGTAAGTCTTAGGCTCTTGTGTAAACTTCAAAACACAGAGGAGCATAAAAGCAATGAAGTTACATTGTATTATTATATTACCTAAGTGGCCATGTCCTGTATCATAATTTTGCTATTTTCAACAAGCCATCTTAGAGCTTTTCATTTATTCAGTTGTCATCAGGAATCAAATACTTGCAGGAAGTTACAGATACTTACTTAAGCTGCTTAGCTGGCGGATGATAGCAGCAAGGGTACTATTCGTTACACATTCCAGTTCACTAGTAATTCCCTCTGGCAGAGCTCCTCGGCAGAGATGCCGTGGTTCAATGTTCCTTTTCACCAAAGGCATGGCTCACAACCTGCAACTTACAGAAAAACACATATTATATTTACAAAAATGAAATGAAGAGTTATGAATTTGTGTACCACACATTCAATTTTTTTTTCCTACAAAATATACTTCACCTTTCTTCTTTTAAAGCACTTGCTTTAGCCTTCCTGCCATAATACACTGCACAATTCCTATCAGGGCACTGGAGTTGTGCACTCACACCAGAACACGACAAGAGCACTGCAGATAAGCACAGAGGATGAAATCCATGTAGATAATGGATGCTTTTTACCTTGGATTTGGTGTAAGATTTACTGTATACACAGACTTGTGCTACGGTACCAGAACCCCTGGACTTCAGTGCACATTTGCATTTATAAAAAACTGGCAGTCCCCACAGGAGTGGTAGGAGAGGTCGCTGTCTGGAGCAAGCTGGCTTGCTGCCTTGGCAAATGGGCCACCAACAGACTGTCCATGTGTTACAGCCCCCTAACTGCATCAGACACTGATCTATCCTCACTCTGACAGTTTTCAGTCAAATTATAAACTCATCTGACAGATAAGGGCAAGGGTCTCACAGAAACAGGCTGGGTGAGAATAAGGAAGAAACTGAAATGTGAGGAAGATTGTTTTCCACAGGTGGTGCTGAATGACAATCTGAATGAGGTAGGAGCACATATTGAACAGATTTTGGGAACATGCCAGATGTGGGAAGACATTTATCTGAGCAAACAAAGGTTGTCAGAACTGGTTTTCTGAGAAAAATAAAAGAAACTAGGATGGGGAAAAATACAAAAAGAGATTTCAAAGCATCACACAGGGCCACAATGGCATAGAAAACACTATCCTGCAGAGAACAGCTTTGAGAGCAGGGACGCTCAAGGAGGACAGAACTGCCCCGAAAGGGAAACAGGCATATAATATAAAAAGTTCCTAAGCAGTTTTCTGTAAAGTGGCATTAACACAATTATGAGTCAATTTGATTAGCTTTTTATAACACTGTTAATTCAGTGTTTGTGCACTACTTATTCATAATACTCTTTTTAAAGATCATGGGGCACCAAAATTTTCTGGAATGAGAAGTTAGTGCTACGAAGGACATAAGTTTATTTGGAAAAGACTTAACTGAAAATTTCTTTTTTATTGCACTAAAGCAATTAAAGTAATATTTCAACTTCGCTAATTAAGATCTCATTAATAAATTAAAATCACCTTTTTGCTTTTCAAATGTTGCATTGTAACTTTTGTAATGACTTCACACCCTGAAGTTTTAAAATACTTTCTTCTCAAGAACATTTCTAAAAAATTAACAACGTAATTAGCAAAAAACCTCTAAAATTATTTCAGAATAGGCCCAGAAGAAACAGGCTCATTACTTCTAAGCAGTAGTCTTGAATTATATTTTACACCTTTCTTAATATGAAACAGTTTATTCGAATGTCAGAATTCAAGGCCAGCTGAGTTTGATACATTTTAAAGAATACATCAGAGGTAAGAGAGGAAAAATTTTTATTTTATAGTAGACCAACAAGCTTCTTGTTTCTGTTCTGTATTTTCATATTCCTCTGCAAACAGATGTATTCTAAAATATCATGTAATATTCAGTGCAGTTTTCTGACCCTGATCAAAAGTACGTAAAAACTGGAAATTCACAATTATTGAAGAGCAACATCTATCAACGTTGCACTGCAAACAGGCTAGCGCGTTGCAACTGTGAAATAAAAGTCATTATGAGGAACTATTTCACTGTGCAGTAAAATGTTCATAAACATAATTAGTAAGAAGTAAATTAATAGGAGCATAAATCAGTGCTAAAGCAGCCAAATCCAAATCTCAGTATTACTCCAACACACAAGATACCATTTTTGTTTTTCTCTAACATTGACAACACTGTTGTACAAACTAAAGGCATAAAGACTCCCTACAACTATGACAAGAGAATTCCTGAAATATTGGTGGGTTATTAGACATCTCATAAAATTGTCTTTCCTTAGAACTATTTTTTACATGCAATTCATCAGTAGTACACTCTGGTGAACAAAGCAACCATTCTAATGGGTTTGGGATTTGTGGGGGAATTTTGTTTCCTTTTTAAAGAGAATTATTGGGAATATGTTTTGCTACATACGTTCATACTCTCAATTTCATTTTTTTTTAACCTATCTTATTTAAGTTCTTATATGAAAAGACCAGAACACCAGCAAAATAAAGCCTGTTTTCCCATGGTTTTCTGTCTAGCATTCTCAGAGCTGGCCTCCCTCTTACCTTTTGCAGTTTACCTGACTTTTCCCCACCACCCCACGCAACACACTGGGGACAGTTGGAAGCTGGCTACACACTGCCCAGCTAATTGCCTGCTACCTCTTGAAAAACCTACCATGCTGAGTATAATCAAAATGCCTTTCACCAGGAGCACTAATTTAAGTCCCTTCTCCACATTATCTTCTTCCTCACCTATAAAAGCTCAGTTTGAAGAAAACACACACCTGCAGTTAGAGTTTTTCATTTTCTCATCAATTCTTTATTAAATGGTCCAATGTGTTCAAGAGCTAGCAGGGGAGAGACAAAACCCACCCAAGCCATCCCATTTCTTTAAAGAACATGCTAAAATGCATCAGTGCTGGGGGGGGGAACCCTTTCCTTTTTGAATGCATGATGTGAATTATTATGCACCCACCTCCTTTAAGTGTGAAGTTTTATTCCAAAAGGTAAACCGAATACTGACAAGTAAATATATGCAACAGATTAAGCAACACATTAACTGCTCTTAATCAGAGAAAAAGAAAGGCTTGCAGTAAGTTTCTTCTAATTTAAACCCTTCAACTACCTGAATCAAACACTTACAGACCTATTCAGCTACTAAGCCATTAGTAAGTAAAAAAAGCTCTTATTACTATGTGCCCTTGCCACTAAAGCACTACCATCCTTCACCACACACAACTCAATCTTTCTTTAAAAAAACATGAGAAGGGAGGCTAAAATGTTTTCAAAATATATGTAGTAACAGGAGGTTAAACAAGAAATGAAGACAAAAATAAGTCTCTGAATCACAGGGGCTTCATCAGGCTCAACCAGGCTGGGGGTAATGTGTTATCAGGTGCAGAAAAAAAAAAAAAAAAAAAAAAAAAAAGAAGAGTTGGCAATGGCAGTTGCACTGCCTTTCACATTCATTTTCCACCTGTTCTGAGTCACACTTCAGCCCAGCTTATTACTAAACAAGATATTCATTGTGATATTCTGTCACTGTATTAAACACATTGGCATTTGGTAAATCATACTCAGTTTTACAACATGGAGGTTAAATAACTTCCCTTCCATCCCCAAATAAGTGGAAAATACTAGGCAAATAAATTATTATTTTCAAAAATTTTAACAGTTCAGAAGACTGGGACCACTCACAGCTCATCATTTTCTTACACATCTTCCCCCAGCTAAATATGCAATACAGCCACAGACTCACAGCTAGGATAAAAGGTCCAACTCCACTCCCTGCATGGAGCCACCTTTCACCCAACACAGGTGGCTTTAAACTATCCAGCTGCATCTGGCACAAGAGATGGAGGATCTAGAAAGATGCTGTACTGCATATATATATAACTGCCTGCATTACAAATGTATGAGACTTCAGCATCAGACCTGAAAAATGGGAGCAGGAGTCAAAGGGGGAAGAAGAAAATGAGGAGGGCAAGATGTTTTACATCTCCCTAAACCCATGCATGCCTCATTGGACATGCATTGGATGCAACATCTGGCTGGGTTGAGCTCAAACAGACACTGCTTTCCAAACCCTGCAGGCATCAGCAACTGCACAGCTAACCTAACTTGATTTCCACACATATTCTGAAAGGACAGGACATCAGAAGCTTGAATTAGCTTAGATCAGTCCATTAAAAATTCACATTAGGCATGCTCCCTCAAGTATTCTCACCTCCCTGTTTTTTTTTCCTCCTCATAACTTGCATAACTGCCTTTTATTTTAGAATTAGAAGGCACTTATCCCAGCAGATACTGATGTAGAGGCAAAATGGGGTACAGAAAGAAATAATCAAAACATTTTTGCTTTTCTTTCCACTCTTGCCCTGCAGTTGCAGGAGTATTGCTCCAGGTCAGCTCAGACCACCTTCTTCTGGACAACAGCTGTTAAACTGCATGTAAGAAGTTTGACATTGCCTCGGCATGTCAGATTTCTGAAAAAAATCAAGTAGAAAGCAGATGCACAGTAACAAACATGAAAGACAACAAACACAATGTACAATCTTTCCAAACAACAGTGGAGCAGCTATTATAAGAGACAAGCTGAATTTTCAAGTATTTGAGCAACTGGCAAAAATTCAAAGCACCAGCTGTTCCCCAAACCTGCCTTTTGCCCTTTCACATCCCCAAAAAGGCACTGTAATTTACAATAGCACTAAAAATATGTAGCTGAATTTCATGGTTCTTTAATATTGTAAGTTCTTTATATATTTACTAACACTGTGAAGCAAATGCCAATTCATTATACAGCCTCTCTACTTGGGAATGTTTCCTTATTATGTTTTCTCAAAGACATTGTTCAATCCCTTTTTTAAACTCTTAAGAGGTTTCTTCTCATACCCTCTAGTAAAATATAACAAAGCTGAACATTTTCACCATGAATGAGCTTTCCATACATCCACCCTAAATTCTCCCTGAATATATTCTATTATTTTCAGGGAGCTTTAGAGCTTTTCGCTGACAAATCTCACAGAACCTCTGTAAAAAGAGAAAAACTACTACAATTCTCCTTCTATGGAGAAGGAAAACAAGAGGTGGACTGAATATGCAGCCTGTCAAGTGATTTACCAGATGGGATTCCATTCAAAATTAAGCACCTAAACTTGTATGACTACATATAGATGAACTCAGTGTCCAAGTCCCTCGAGAGCTCAAGCAGAAGCCTAAAGAGCAACTCAATCACTGCATCTATTGATATACACAAGATAGATACAGTGAGCTCAAATACCTCATGTGTAAGCTCTGCTATTCACACACCTAAATTTAGGTGTCAAC